TTATTCTATGCCAGTGATATTTTGCCTGTGGGAATTATTTGCTGTTTCTCTTGGAAAAGGTGTATCTGTGATGGTGATACATTGGCAGACTGTCACAGAGTGCATTTGTGGACTATTACGCCGAACTGTACAACATACCTACAGCACCAACGCTCAATCACAGACTTTCTTGACCAGAATGTCGAAATGAACTAGAACAGCCCCTCACAATAGAGGAACTAGGAACGGCGTTAAAACTTTCCAAATCCCACAGAGCCCAGGGTCCAGACGGCCTCCCATTGGCATATCTGCGCACGTTCCGGGACGGACTATCCAAACCGGTGGCCAATTTCCGACGGACACGCTGGCGGCTGTTGTGACGTTTATCCCTAAAGAGGGCACAGATCCGCTAATTGCGGATGGCCCTGTAAATTGCAAAATACCTCCCTGACCTGGTTCACTCGGACCAGGTTGGATTCATCCCTTAAAGAGAAGGACGAGACAACACTTTCAAGACCCTGAATATTATCCATGTGGTGCTGTCGACCCAGAGAGAACTGTTACTACTATCTACAGAACCTGAAAAAGGCATTCGACCGGGTCGATTGGCTGTACCTCGTGAACACACTCCAACACATGGGCTTTGGTCCTCACATGTGTTCATGGGTGCTATCCCTATACACGACCCTGACAGTTCGTATACGAATCAACGGCGCACTCACCAGCCCATTCCCTATATGAAATGTCACTTGCCTGGGGTGTCCTATGGCCTGTTTGCCCTTTCCATTGAACCCTTCCTAAGGGGCGATCAGACGGGATGGGGGCATTATGGGATTCACCCCCAGGTGCAGAGAATACCGTGCCGCAGCATACGCGGACAGTATGCTGTTCTTCCTTGCACAGCCGACAGTCTCCCTCCCCAATCTCCTAGTGGCCTTCAGCAAATTGGAGTGACCCCCAATCTAAAGCTCAACATGGATAAATCGGGGGCGCTCCACGAGTCCCCCACCCATGCAATGCCTGCACTCCTCCGCACACAGTACCCTTTTAAATGGTGTGATACAAAGCTCTGGTACCTTGGAATCTGGCTCCGGAAAGACCTCTCACAGCTTTATCAACACAATTACCTCCCGTTGCTCCAGACGCTACAAGCAGACCTCCAAAAATGGACCCCACAATACCTTTCATGGTTTGGCCGCATCTATGCGGTCAAAATTAACATCATACCCAGGATATTATACCTGTTTCAGACCGTCCCAATCACCATATCTATGGAACCTACGCCCTACGTGCATGAGGAAAACAATTCTGAAACTCCCAAAGGCAGCTGGCGGGACAGGCCTCCCCTCCATTGAGACATACTACCATGCCACACTTACACCAGCTAGTTGACTGGCACATGCACACACCCAACAAAATAATGGGTAGCTATGGAAATTCTACAGGCAGAGGGGAATATCACCTCCAGGTTGTGACTGGACAATACTACGATCAGCGCCCTACGCACAAAAAAACCCTATGATTGATGCTACCCCGGGGACATTTACCCTACGATAATGAAGGCAGCTTACCACCTCACCTACTCCCCTCACGCGCATAACGAATAACCCAGACTTTGCGGATGGCTTTACACCAGGCGCATGTCTGGCCTACAACCGTCCAACTGGATGTACTTGCACCAATGGTGCAACTCTACCAGACTTAAGACTCAGACAGGAGAATGACAGTACTTGAACAATTTTGCTATCACCAAGTCAAGACCTATTACCAGTTTCTACCAGGAAGGGGACATTTCCATAGGTCCCTAACAAGCTTCGAACACTTCTGCACCACTCGGACACAACTCTCACAGGGAATTTGGATCCTATACTCCATGCTCATGACTTTGACAAACAGCGACACACAAGCAAATGGGAAAGGGACATGGGGACAACTCTCACCACACAGGAATGGGACAACACCTTCACCTTCACACACAAATGCTCTATCAATTCGAAATACCAAGAGTTGGGTTATAAATTACTCACAAGGTGGTACAGGATGGCTGATGTCCTGCACCGCATGCACATGGAGATACCGGAGACATGCTGGTGGTGTGGCACCCAGGTGGGAACCTATATCCACATCTGGTGCTCATGCCCCTCCATAACTCCCTACTGGGAAAAGATCCGTTCCAAAATACAGGAAATCACGGACACCGAAATAACCCTAAATCCCCTATATCTCAAGGAACGGTAGAGAACCAACTGAACACCAAACCCCTGACGCCCCCTAGAAAGACTTACCTTATCCAAAGAAGTAGGGAACACATTCACCCTAGCCACGAGCTGAGGTGGGCGGGGGAGGTGGATGTTACCCCTTCCATGTCCCCAAGCAAAAAAAAAACATCCCTTCCCCTCTAATACCTCTCACTCCCGTTCTCCTTCTCTTTCCTCTAATCTTCAACAGTAGATTAATGTATAAAAGTAAATGCCCAGTTATTGACAGCCCATACTGGGCCCCTGAGTTAGCCTGTGGCCTCCCCCCAGACACATGCAGGGTGGATTTCAGAGACAGACCCATTACCTACAGGTGGAAATGTGACACCAAGAACTTAATACCAGACTAGGTAATTGAAGATAGCAGGGGGTATAAACCTCGACAATACTACATCCATTTGGGCACGCAGAGGGACGGGATCCGGGGGACAATAGACCGGATTGTGGGCTGACACAGCTCCTCGACAAGGTTGTAAGCTCACAGCACGGACGGTACCCACTCTGGAACCCTCCAACTTCTACTCTATCCTGTACTGGACACAGGTGTCATTGACCAAACATGCCAAAAACCAAAGACTAGATACTCGTACCAAATAACGTTGCACTGCTTCCAATACTAACTCCCCCAACCTGCTACATACCTGCAATAAACTGGGACGAACAGTTATATCACACTGTGTCACTTGTTTTAGCTTGCCTTACTGTACTGAAGACATGCATCCCCTTAAGTAATGATTGTTTAACATAAAAAATGAGAAGCCAGCTCATATTCTAAGGCCACATCAGAAACATACAAATAATGGCTTGACTCAAGGGTTAAGTATAGCGCATCGCTCACTGTGCCCAGACATAACAAAGATTCAAAAAAAGAAAGGAATGCACACCAACTAACACAATAATATATATCTAAATATATTTATTATAATACAAATCCAAATCTTACATATAAAATGTAACAGTGACCAAAAAAGGCAAAAAAGTTTAAACAGTATATTTACCAAATTCGACAAGCCTATAAGGGCAGAAACACGAGTCACAAACAATCCCCCAACGTCTCGGCTCCTCCTGGTAGCTATCCTAGCTACCCTTGATAAAGGCTACCAGGAGGAGCCGAAACGTTGGGGGATTGTTTGTGACTCGTGTTTCTGCCCTTATAGGCTTGTCGAATTTGGTAAATATACTGTTTAAACTTTTTTGCCTTTTTTGGTCATTGTTACATTTTATATGTAAGATTTGGATTTGTATTATAATAAATATATTTAGATATATATTATTGTGTTAGTTGGTGTGCATTCCTTTCTTTTTTTGAATATGTGCTTTATTGGTATTTAAGGGAGTTCCCTTTTGGAATAGCACCCACAAGCGTGGTGGCAATTATATTAAGTATCTCTCCACATGTTGTATTTTTTACAGACATAACAAAGAAACATAACAATATTCAAATAAAAATAAAACAAAACTTGCAAACCCACATCATGAAACCAGCGCCTTGCTATATATAAACACACACCTTAGAGGTAGCATGCACATACAGGGTCAGACCCGACACATCCCCAGTTGACATTGGCACTTGCCGATACGTAAGCTGTAAAAGGTCATAGGTTCCAAATTCCAAGCCTATGTTTAGCAAGCAGACGATTATTTTTCAACTGCAATGATACGTTACCATTTAGGAATGTACCACATATTTATTTTTTATTATTAAAAAAAACAACAAAACAACATTAAATTATTCTGTTTTGGTAACAGACATGGAGCTCACATGGTGAATAATACGCCGGTCTGAATAGGGTGTTAAGACAATGTGAACAAATCTGCATCAGCTTTTCAATGTAAAATGAAATGATCAATAATAAACACGATGGTCAAGTCTACAATAAGTTAAATATAACTCACCAATTCTGCACTTGTTAACAATGTTGTTAAGTGTTACCATCAAGCAGCTAGTCATCAAACGGTCTGTTACTGAAGGTAGTGGAAATTAAATCTTACCAACTGCGACTTTTTAATTCTCAGCTGACAAGAGTTTTAACACAGACGTTAATAGGAGACATTAAACACCTCTTGCAGGCTTTTTTCTATAAAATGCTAACTTTACTGACTCGTGGGCATTTGTTTTCAAACCACTACGAAATTAGGGAGCTTTTGTATTTAGTAGATTGCTCTTTAATTGAAAACTCTTATCCAATAAGGGTACAAATTAGGGAGCTATCAACTAAACAGCTCGCTAATTTGATATCCTTCCTTATGTGGGATTGCCATATTTAAAGGAACACAATAGTCACTCAGACCACTTCATCTAATCTCAATGAAGTGGACTGGGTACAGTGTCCATGTCCCTTTAACCCCTTAAGGACACATGACATGTGTGACATGTCATGATTCCCTTTTATTCCAGAAGTTTGGTCCTTAAGGGGTTAAAGGGAGACTATAGTCCTGGGAAAACAAACTCGTTTTCCTGGCACTGTAGCTTCCCCTTCTGTCCAGGCCCCCTCCCGCGGCGCTGAAGTGGTTGATATCCCCTTTAGTCACTTACCTAGGTCCTTTGGCTATGGCTCAGCTCCGCCCACGCTGAGTTGTCTAAGAACCTGGAAGTCCATCTAGTGGCTGTCTGGTAGACAGCCACTAGAAGACTTAACCCTGCAATAATTATATGCTCAGGGTTAATCAGGATGGGAGTTGGCAATGGGCTGAAGTGGTCTGGGTGCCTACAATGTCCCTTTAACCCTGCAATGTATAACAATTTTTCAATGCTTTCTTATGGGAAGGTTGAATGAACTTGCTGCTAATGAACATTCAGTCCCCGGCAATAGATTAGTCCTTCATGTTGGGGGAAAGGTCATCTCCGTGACATGAGGAGAAGTCAGCAGCTCTGATGGGTCTCACTACTGGAATATTTGCACCATGGGGGGGAGGGACCAATTTAGAGCTTGGGAGAGCAACACTATAGCGTTAGTAATCTAGATTTGTTTCAGATGAAGCACAAATTATGTTTGTCCGAATTTTGGTAGAAACGGAAATATGGGACACCGCAAGTCTATTAACTACTGCTATTTTTCACTCTTAATAAATCACTTAAGAAAAATATATTCATTTCTTATACAAGTCAAGATACATAGAGATGTCATCAGAATACGATAATCTGTCAAATTGCATGGCCCCAACTTCGACTAGTCTGGTCCTGTTTTTATTCACTTTGGCCTAAGATATGGAGCTACTCCACCCTGTCAGCACAGCACATGCACATCATTAGACACACTTGTGCTGCACAGAGGGCACTAGGAGCATGCCCAGAGAATTCATCATGTCCATTTTGGGCATCATTGGTCCATGCAAAACATGTCCCTGGCATGCCCACAACCTCCTGGTATGAAATGGGCAAATCAGCAGTTAGCACACCAAGGGCAATGCATATGCAACATAACACACATACAAACCACGAACAAAAAAATATTATATATAAGTCAGCTTACGTCTAAGAAATGTCATGAGTCTCAATAGAAATACAGAGAAGCAGAAGATAAGACCATTTCTGTTTATCGATGGCTTTTACATATACCATCATTTCAGATCCTGTATGAATTGTTACAAGATAATGGATTCAGTATAAGCTGTGAAACCTTAGATACACATTATATTCTGTAAAGGATGAAAATGGTGTAACGTTTGTATAATTTAACATGATTTAAATGTTACGGTATCTCTGGACAGCAATCTATAAATACAAAATCACTGATTTATCCTACATTAATGTGCTAAACGCATCTCATCTTTCAATAAGACATTATTCTCACGTGGTTATATAAAAAGAACAGCTGTTATTTAGGTTAGGTTAGTTACAATATATATATTTGTAAATGCATATGTAATGTAAGAATATTAAAATAAAATGCCTTTGTCTATTCCCACACTATGCAGGCTCATTTTGCACACACCGGCCCTTTAATTATATGTTTGTCGGTGTGTGCCAGGAATTTACACAAATGTAGACACTATGTTTCTTGGAAATAACAGTCAGCGTCTTATCATTTAAACATCACAGGATTTGTGGTACATTAGCCATACGCTCGGAAAAAGAGGAATTTTCTAGAAAAAAATGGGTAATTAGCATCCTAACCAAATAACTGGTTATCTTTAAAGAGTGCAGCTTTTGATTAATTTAAATAAGGATGATTAAATCACTCACACGTGGAAACATAGTATTTATATACAGGGCTGGATTAAAGAAACACTATAGAAACACAAACGTATTCCCGACCCTACATTGTTAAAACCACCATCTAGCCCCCCTTGCCCTTCCTTGCACCCTAAATATAGTATAAAATGAACCTTTCTTCAAGTCTGCTGCTGCTGTCTCTGCCCCTGATCTGCCTGCTTGACTGACTTTATCAGAAGTGGAGATCTCAGCCAATCACAACGCTTTTTAATAGGATTGGCTGAGACTGACAAGGAGGCAGATCAGGGGCAGAGCCAGCACAAGTCAAACAATGCCCTGGCCAATCAGTATCTCCTCATAGAGTTGAATTAAATCAATGCATCTATATTAGGCAGTGGCGGAACTAATGTAGAGAGGGCCCTGGTGAAAGAAAATGTAAGAGTGGCCAAAAGGTAGATCCCCTGTACAGGTCCAACGATGCTATGCCACCTGTGGATCTTCCATTTGCCCATATTTAGTGTGCGTGAATGTAAGCATGTTTTTTGTATACCGTTATTGTGGCTGTAAACATGATAATTTCTATATTTACAGCCACCCACCTGCTTACCGTTTGTGTCCAGATAGGTGGCTTGCTTGGGGAGCTGCAGCTCCTGGCTGAGGCTGATGGTAGTGAGTGTGTGAGCTCCCTGCAGCCTATCTCCCTCCGTGCTGCCTGTCTGCCTCCTCCAGCGTGGCACTCTCCATATAATTTGGGGGAAGTGACAGGCAGTTTATCACTTTCTCCCAGCCGTCCGATCATGCCCATACAGGGGATACAGGGGCCCGCTTAATGTTCGTGTCCCCAGTTTTATAGCACCCACCCATGTGTCTCATAAAAATAATAAAATAAAGGTTTTTGCTTACCTTTTTCCTGCACTGCATTTATATAGCACAGTGATGTCACAGATAGAGCTTGCAATCTGTTTATAGAGCACAGTGATGTAATAGATAGAACTTGCAATCTGTTGTAGCCTTGTTGGTACAGGGTGGCCGTCCACCAACCATCCACTACTCCATCCATCTGGACCATCCAAGGTTGCACGACACTCATCAGTGAACAGGACTGTTTGAAAATTAGTCTTCATGTATTTTTCTGCCCAATGCAGCCGTTTCTGCTTGTGAGCATTGGTTAGTGGTGGCCAAAAAGAAGGTTTCTCCACGGTTGCAAGACTCTGGAGGACTCTACACCTTGATGTCCGTGGGACTCCAGAGGCACCAGCAGCTTAAACTTTCTGTACGTAATGGTATTTTAGCAGCTGCTCTCTTGATCCAATGCATGGATCTGGCAGAAATCTTCCTCAATGTGCCTTTATCTGCACAAACCCGTCTGTGCTCTGAATCAGCCACAAATCTCTTAATAGTGCGATGATCACGCTTAAGTTTTCGTGAAATATCTAATGTTTTCATACCTTGTCCAAGGCATTGAACTATTTCACTCTTTTCGGCAGCAGAGAGATCCTTTTCCTTCCCCATATTGCATGAAAATGGTGCTCTGCTTAATAATGTGGAACACCCTCCTTCAGTAGTTTTTCCTTAAATTGGGCTCACCTGGCAATCTAATTATCACAGGTGTCCGAGATTGTTTTCAGTGATCAAAAGAGCCCTGAGACACAATGCCATCCATGAGTTAAAGGAACACTATAGTCACCTAAATTACTTTCGCTAAATAAAGCAGTTTTAGTGTATAGATAATTCCCCTGCAATTTCACTGCTCAATTCACTGTCATTTAGGAGTTAAATCACTTTGTTTCAGTTTATGCAGCCCTAGCCACACCTCCCCTGGCTATGATTGACAGAGCCTGCATGAAAAAAAAAACTGGTTTCACTTTCAAACAGATGTAATTTACCTTAAATAATTGTATCTCAATCTCTAAATTGAACTTTAACCCCTTAAGGACACATGACATGACATGATTCCCTTTTATTCCAGAAGTTTGGTCCTTAAGGGGCTAATCACATACAGGAGGCTCTTGCAGGGTCTAGCAAGCTATTGACATAGCAGGGGATAAGAAAATCTTAATTAAACAGAACTTGCAATAAAGAAAGCCTAAATAGGGCTCTCTTTACAGGAAGTGTTTATGGAAGGCTGTGCAAATCACATGCAGGGAGGTGTGACTAGGGTTCATAAACAAAGGGATTTAACTCCTAAATGGCAGAGGATTGAGCAGTGATGCTGCAGGGGCATGTTCTATACACCAAAACTGCTTCATTAAGCTAAAGTTGTTCAGGTGACTATAGTGTCCCTTTAAACTGAAAAAACAAAATATTTAATCTTTGTGACACTTAAATAGAATTTGCATAATAATTTGGAACAGGGTGTATATAGCACAGTGATGTAATGGATAGAGCTTGAAATCTGTTTATATAGCACAATGATGTCAAGGAGTTTGCAATCTATTTATATAGCACAATGATGTCATGCAGCTTGCAATCTGTTTATATAGCTCAGTGATGTAATAGATAGAGCTTGCAATCTTTTTATATAGCACAGTGATGTCATAGATAAAGCTTGCTGCCTGTTTATACAGCACAGTGATGTAATAGAGTTTGCAATATGTTTATATAGTACAGTGATGTAATAGAACTGTTTATGTAACACAGTCATGTCACAGAGCTTGCAATCTTTTTATATAGCACAGTGATGTCATACAGCTTACAATCTGTTTATAGAGCATAGTGATGTCATAGATAGAGCTTGCAATCTGTTTATAGAGCACAGTGATGTCATAGATAGAGCTTGCAATCTGTTTATAGAGCATAGTGATGTCATAGATAGAGCTTGCAATCTGTTTATAGAGCACAGTGATGTCATAGATAGAGCTTGCAATCTGTTTATAGAGCATAGTGATGTCATAGATAGAGCTTGCAATCTGTTTATAGAGCACAGTGATGTCATAGATAGAGCTTGCAATCTGTTTATAGAGCATAGTGATGTCATAGATAGAGCTTGCAATCTGTTTATAGAGCACAGTGATGTCATAGATAGAGCTTGCAATCTGTTTATAGAGCATAGTGATGTCATAGATAGAGCTTGCAATCTGTTTATAGAGCACAGTGATGTCATAGATAGAGCTTGCAATCTGTTTATAGAGCACAGTGATGTCATAGATAGAGCTTACAATCTGTTTATAGAGCACAGTGATGTCATACAGCTTGCAGTCTGTTTATAGAGCACAGTGATGTCATAGATAGAGCCTGCAATCTGTTTATCTCGCACAGTGATGTCATACAGCTTGCAATCTGTTTATATAGCTCAGTGATGTCATAGATAGAGCTTACAATCTGTTTATAGAGCACAGTGATGTCATACAGCTTACAATCTGTTTATAGAGCACAGTGATGTCATACAGTTTGCAATCTGTTTATCCCGCACAGTGATGTCACAGAGCTTGCAATCTGTTTATATAGCACAGTGATGTGATAGAGCTTGCAATCTGTTTATATAGCACAGTGATGTCATACAGCTTGCAGTCTGTTTATATAGTACAGTGATGTCATAGATAGAGCTTACAATCTGTTTATACAGCACAGTGATGTCATGAAGCTTGCAATATGTTTAGAAACCATAATTTAGCCTGGGTCCCTGTGTGCTAAGGATACTGGGAGTGACAGAATGAATTTTTGTTGTTATTTTAGAAAACACTGTGCACTGAAAGACACAGCACAGGCTGTACCATTCCAGGGTCTGGGTCAGAGTGATGTGAATTGCTGTGTCAGTAACATTCCAGAGGTGGCCTCTCCTTGACCCGTGGCTGGATGAGAGTGATGG